AACATGCATATTGATGCCACGCACAAATTCACTGTTTAGACTAGAGACTAATAAACCGAGAATTGGCCACAGATGAGATTTACGACCTTTTTGTTAACGTAATCAACTTGGTCTGTTGATACTCCGCTAATAGTTACTGCAATTGACCGCTAAGAAGGCACACAAGAGAACGGGTGCATATTTGTTCTGATGTTGAGATATGTAAACCTGGCCCGTATTATCTTAAGGTAATGTCCGTCAAGGCGAGCCTGATTTTACTGGTGCTGCGTGTTGGTGAGGTGGACGTTGGTGGTGTAGAACAACAGGGGCAAGTGTTTATTCAACTGAAAGTACGTTTCTTTTGCTTTATCTCGTGCAAGCATCACCCAAAAGAGACAAAGCATAAGTGTGTGATATTATCGTTAGAAAATGATGATGATGATGATTTAAATGGTATTAAGTAATAAATAATCTACTTCTTGGCGCGGTTGGGTCTCTCTCTCTCTCTCTCTCTCTCTCTCTCTCTCTCTCTCTCTCTCTCTCTCTCTTAATTTTTACCAGATTCAAAATCTCGTTTAACTGCTATCATCCTCACATTCACGCATCGGTCTTTGCATATCCGTTCTCTGAATTTTGCAGTGAGTTTTCTTCTGAACATAAATTAGACATCTTGTTCCAGCTTCATCTTCTTTCTTCATAACACACATTTTAAATGGTGAATACTGCATCATGCCCGAGATAACATTGATTCTTCTTTATTTATTCCTCATCAATTCAGCTGTCTCAAGAGTACTTTTCCGAGTTTGAAAGAGAACTAATGTTTACCTTTTGCTCCATGCTGCATACGTAACGATGCAACTCTCACTAACTTGCTGACTAGGCACGGTCACAGTTTTGCCTTTCAGAGATGAATGGTGTCTGTGTGGAGGCCATGCCTTTGCTTCATGAATGGCATTTTGATACTGGCCATAATAAATTTAGTGTCTTATTTAATTGTCAGACTCTCTTTCTCTCGCTCTCACTCTCTCTGTGTGT